AAATCAAGAGTCAGTGTAGCTGAATCCATATTACAAGGAAACTTAAGCATCAATTCCATTGACCCTGATGATAACTTATCCTCGGAAGGAGATATTTTCATCTTCCTCACCACATCTGAAATTATCTGAGCCTTCCCATCTACAAAAATATGCAGCGTATGATAATAAACTTTAACATACCAAGGAACAACCTGAAAAATTACAGCATCCACCCCACAACTATCTGAAGCTCTCAAAAAATGTTCATGCAAATTTGCAGATCGTATAGTGATAGCAACAGAGCCTCTTTCATTTCCACTTCCCATTAGAAAACGGTTCACGTGGAAAGGAGCACGAGAGCAAGACCAAACCAAAGGAATTTTCCAATGAATGCCTAAATCCAAAGGCACAGAGTCGTTCAACCCACTGACTTCAAACACATAGAGAACAGAACTTCTGAGCTTATTCAATGCATTTAGTTCTCTAATCTCATTGTTTGGTATCACAGACAGTTCAAAGGCTGAATTATTCCAGGAAGACAAAGGTTGCAGTTTATCTACTTTAAGAGCTAAATCATTCTCCAGTTCAAGAAAAATTCTGCTAGTTTTTGCAAGAACACAATGCCCAACAACCTTCTTCCCAAACAAGGAGTTAAGAGACCAACTAGGTTGAAGAGATCCATCACCCAAAGAAAGAGAACTAAGCCTTCTCATACTGGGTTGAAGGACAAGGGTGAGAGTCTGTTCAAGAATTATACCAGTAAACTCAGAAGATATCAGTTTTAGCCTTTGGGAGTGATAGTGGCTCTTGTAAATAGAAGGTCTGTCTAATAATAAAGCTATCCCAGCCTTATCACGGCAAGGAAGTAGTTTTAACCAAGGAGTGAGGTTCTCGGTGCAAACTGCTTCTCGTGGTAATGCGCCATATCGTAATTTGCTTGAATTTGATTGGAAACCCCAAGTTGGAGAAGAATAAGCTGTGGAGGACTCGAGGAAATTGATGGAAGAGCAGAAAAGACCCGAAAGAACATGGGTTAAATTTTTCCAAGTATGATCAATTGTATTTAGAGGGAGATCAAAGTTTGCCCAAAGCTCAACACCAGGAGGCTTGGCATTGGTGGTGGAGATTGGATCAAATCCACCCCATTTCTCATAGTTCCAACGTCCTTGTGTGAAAGATAATTCCAACTCCCTTATTTCAAACTTACGTGCCTGCCCAATCATTATAAATTTTATTACATGTCCACATAGAAGAAGAATAGCACGGATGTTGAAGAAATGTTGTTTCTCATTTAGGGGTGGTATGATAACGGATTTAAGTTTAATCTTTCCAGATTAAAAATATGACAATTTAAGTCCATGGTTTAGCAAAATCAATTTAGTCTTAATCTCTTCACAGTTTTGTCTTAAAATACCAGATTTACTAAATTCTATTGTTGGCAAGTCTTCGCAAATTCAGATTTAGAGGATTTACTAAAGCTATTAAAGCTGTTACCATACAAATCCTTATTCTTGCATGTTCTTGAACAAGTACAATTCTCTCTCAGTTAAGCTAAAATCCAATCAGCAAAGCTCGCGTAACTATTTTGTGAAGCATGTATACATAAAAAATGTCAATTCATAATCCAGTAATTGTAGACAAGCAGCATACTTGAAGCCCAAATAAGCCAGGCAAACTAATCTCAATTATGAGAACTTGTGAGAAAAGAAACATATGCTCAGAAACGTATTCAAGAGCACAAAAAGATAGTATCAGACGCTTAATCACTCTTTGATCCGACTATTGAAGATGAAAAGGCGTCTAGCTGCAGGACTAAGCCTTTTAACTCAGAACTATAAATATAAAACCTTTTCAAGATCCAAGTGAAAAACCAAACTTTAACCTAATCAAACAGCAAAATCACGAGCAAATATATTCTCATATCTAAAAAAATTAGCAGAACATGGATCATGTTGTCTGTTATTAAAAATGTGTCATAATAATGATACAAAACATATTCACGTAAACAGCAAGGACCTCCATTATTTTCTTTTTAGATTATATGCAAGATCCTAGTTCCATCTGAATTAGAAAACCATAATAAACAGAGTAAGAAGTAACGAAACCCCGCGCTGTCCAGAGAAAAGTCCCAATTTAAACCCTTAATATGAAATAATAAAACGATTTGTAAGGGCAAGTACAAAATCCCGATATAAAAATTACAAGTAATCCAAACCAGCTGTGCGATGGCCTTGGGGAAGAGGTGGTGATGGCGTCCGTTGGCGGCGGAAGGAGGAGCTGAGCTCTGGAAGTGGAAATGGGAGAGTACTTTTCGGTCAGGCAATGGTTTCAGTAGAAGCTCCTCAGTGAACTCCTCCTTCAATCCCTCACCACGTTCGACCAAAGCTAGGGCTGGAAGGTGAAAAGAATTGGAGAGGAAGATTATTAGAAGGAAGGCGGAGGTATGGAATCGCCGGCGGAGTTTCGCCATGGAGGCCGAGTTAAACATTAGGACTTCTCGTTGCCTGACCACCTACGATGACAGGAAGAGCCACTTGGAATGAACATTAAGGCCGTAGCGACGAAAAACCTCCTCGAATGGTTCCTTAATGGTTTTTCCCTCAGGTCACTTATCGTGAGCTACTTCCGCTATCCAAGCAAAAAGTTTCACATGGTCTTAGTGACTCATATGTAAACTTCATGAAAAAGAAAAAATATCGCCTTAAGCCATATTTCCACCTATTTTTTGCATATTATTCCCTCAGAAATTTCTATTCTGTATTATTCAGTAAAGAAGAAGTTTTCAAAAAGGGTTTTTTTGTCTCAGCTAGGGTTTGGTCGCTGTATTTATGATGGAGATAGATTTATCTCTTAATGAAGAGTTTGAGCACATGGATGACGAAATGAATGTCAACGTCTTTGAAACGGAGGTAAGATTTATTGCTTACTTCAACCGTTTTCCGTTTTTCCGAGAGTAACCCAACAATAACCTAAGAATAATCTGCGCATAAACCCACCAGATCTCTAAAAAAAACGAGATTTTGTGTGAATCTTCGATTGTGGTTAGATTATTTCATCATTATTCTGTGTTTAGAGTTATTTATTTTCTGGTTGATTGAAGAAATACTCAATAACCTGAGAATAACTCAACAATAATTTAAAGAATAACCTGCGCATAAACCCACCAAATCTCTAAAA